AATTTTTCATTGCCTTCTAAACTCCCACTTTTCTCCCAGCCTATGAATTTTGTAAGTACTCATTGCGTTTCGTGATTCATAAGTACTTGATGCAAAAACATTATTTTTCAAAACTTCGAATAAACAGCGATTTTTTACGTTGCTTCTTTCATTTAGAAAAATATATTTATTTCAATAAGGCGCAAATTGGGTCAACTTATAAATTTCATATTTCAAATTGTATATATATAAACTTAAACTAAAAAAAAGTTCACAACTCTAAGAGCCTCTAAAAAAAATGTCTACAAAATGAAAATTAAATAAATTTGAATTTCTTTAAATTCATGATATCTATGAATTTTTATTACGACATTTTAATTAATAAATAGTACTTAGAACAAATGTAACTTAATTATTTCTATTGGTTAATCTATTTTTGATTTAGCAAAAAACAATTAGATTTTTACTTATGAAATAACGACAATGGACAAACTAAAATGAAAACTGCGTAAAAGCGATTACCATATGATACGATAAATTCAATAATCTTTCAGTACTTTACCTACTCCTATCAGTTCATTAATTAACAATTATTACATAATGTGATATATTTACCATCGTCATATCAGTGGAAACAAACATTCCTGGTTGTAATCGTTAATCATCATACCTAAATTTTCTATTTTTGGCCAGCTAAAAATGCAATTCCTCCCACTGTGCATCGTCTCAACGTCTTCGTACTGTTTTTCAAGCGTGCGAAAACCACGTTTTCTTGTTGTGAATCCTGTGACTAACTGTCCGGTAAATATCGTTCGTGACAACAGTCATTATTGTTCTAATTTGTATTCCCTAGTTCTAGGTGGTCAATTAGTACCGACAGTTTTGTGAATCCGTGATGTTGCATTTGTCGTTGTGCTGTGAATATCGGTAGCGTGAATTCTTCGTGTTTAACTGTAGCTACGTGCGCCGAAAGTACGCGGGCCACTGTTTTTTATTGTATTATCTTATTATTATTTACATTCCCCGGTGCGATAGCGTAGGGATTAAACCCACCGTCCATTGTAGTTAAATATTATTGAGTATTATTCTGTCGACTCTTGTCTTTACGTTTTTTTGTGGCAGACGTGCCCTACATAGCTCTTTTTGTTGTATAATTTACTAGTCTAGCAATATCCCAAGATCTTATATTTGTATATATATTATTTAGAATTATTTATTTAGTTACCCTTCATCATCGTTATCGTTCCATATGCACTTATTTATCATCTGTTTTACCTTTTAATATCATTCATACATTTATTATATTTTTTTTCATATATCATTTGAATATTGTTGGTTATACTTTTTATACTGTAATTATTTACTTATATCTTTTGAGCCAGTGGCTATATTACCAAACGTGATTATTTTTATTATTATTTACATTACTATTACTATTATTATTATTATTATTATTATTATTATTGCATTATACAGTCTACTTAAATTTAAATTTGTGTTTTTCTATTTCTTATATTTATTTATTTATTTTCAACACAACGTTTAGTTCTCCCTGAGTGGTTACTGCTGTCACCCGAGCAACACTTCTTCCATTCGAAAATTATTAAATATTATTAATTTACACCACATATACCACTCGATTTAGCTTTAGAAAATACCGCCGATCAATTGATCAGCGAACAGCCAAAATACAAAATTGGTTGATTTGGTATTTCGAAGAAATTTACTTATTATTATATATAGGTGCACTAAATTCAGACTTTTTAAAAATCGCATTTTAAACTGTTTGGGCTCTGGGCTAAACGTATAAATTTGTTTAATTGTATATGTATTGATAAATTCATTGGTATATATGTATGGTATATGTAAACTAATATAGAATACATTTAATTAATATTGTTATGATCAAAAAAATGATTTTCGATTGATGTTAAATTAAGAAATTCTTTATTTTTTTTATATATATTAAAATAGTAATCACTCTAATTTAAAATATTAAAATATCTACCACGTGGGTTCGAGTAATTCAAAAAGTTTTGTATGAAAAAATTATTATCTAAAATAAAAAATACGGTTCAATATACCGTGCATATCTAATCGTTTTATGCGATGTAATACATTTGTCTATTATATATTCACGTTGTGATGTAAATTTCGATTAACAAACATTGCACAATATACGTCGACAATCGAAGATATCTATACGCGAGGGGAGTTTAATTTTACGTGGCTGTTCTTTATATTGGATAAAGTTAAATTTAAAATTTGACATTCAGTTTGATTGATGCGATTTCCAAGTCGACAACGGTAAAGAATTCGAACCCTGCGCGGTAGGATGCACGGAGGGCTCACAATAAACGTGCCGACGAATGAAATTAGCTGTACACAAGAAAAGTGGTAACGGGGAAAAAAAAAAAAAATTAAATTAAATATTAACTTGTATTTTTTTTTACATTGTAATTTATTTGCATAACAATGGATGCGCAGATAATCATATGCTGTTGTGCGTACGCTGAATTAAATGCAATAAAATGAAAATATAATAATCAACAGTTCGGATAGTGCAGTGTAATATTTATTCGAGAATCATTTTTATAAATAGATATAACGGTATAGTTCGTGAAATGCTGCATTGTTAAATACGTAGACGAAAACCGATAAAAAAAAAAGTTAAAAAATAGTCGCTATAACATTCAATTAATATTTTTTTTTTTAATAAGATCATACACAGCTCAATAATAAATATTATAGCAGTTTTGATCTTATTCCAATCGTCCAAAAACTCGATAAGACCAAATGAAATCGTCAAGGAGGCCAACAGATTCGGTAACGCGACGTAATCGTGCGTCGACTTAAAATAATAGCCGACGTTATCCACCCCCGAACACTTGAACACATAAGTTCGCGTGTTGCGATGCACATTACGAACCACACAATACATCATATTATCTTTGTGTCGAAACGCAAACATACTTCCGCTCGCACGGTGCGTACTACAACGGCGGGAGGACGGCGTGAAAATCGACCGTTTGAACAAACTCTCGTGGGCGACGTTTTGTTACGTGTGCGTAGGTATTTTTTTTTAATTTTTTTTTTTTATATACATATATTTTCTTCATGTCTCCGCACACAATACACATGCAATCGACTGCAACGCGGTTTGAGTAATGACATTTCGTGCAAATTTTTTACCTCGGCCGACCACGCCCCGTTGTTCGGGTGGAAGACCGGGCCTGTGTATCGCGCGCGGGGGGGATGCGGAGACTCGACTAGATCTCTATTGTTGACGGGGAGGCGCGAGAACGCTAGGATTTTTGTACTTTACACGTTATACATATTATTATTATTATTATTATTATTATTACAATACTAGATGCTGTACGCTGCGCACGGATGGGGTGTGCAGACGGCGGCCTAGACAAACGAAATATACGCGCCGCGTGGATTCACATTATATAACATTTATATTATTATTTTTATCACTCCGATGACGATGGGTGGTGTGTAGGGGTTAGTCAGGACTTGCGAAATCCCGGACGGTACAACGTAATACGTATATGTACACGTATTGTAGGTACAGTTTGTCCGTCCCCCTCTGCCATCGTCAATTCACACGAGCGCACAACCCAAGCCCAGTGCCATTATTGCGGACGTTCAACGCTGTACGCTACGGTGTAGACAGTGTAGATCGCACATCATACCCTAAGCGCGTTGTACACATAGACGCCTCTTAAAAAAAGGGTTTATTGTGTTCGTACCTTCGAAACGGTTGAAAACTGACGAAAAATGTGACTAGTCATTCGTCGCGGCGACGGGATCGTTGCGACACACGGAGACCCATTAGAGACGACGAGAGAATAGTGGGTACCACCGCACGGCCATGGCGGTGTAACAGTTACGTGGTCGCAGCCGCAGGACCGCTACAGGTGCTGTATGCAAAAACGAACAATTATAAATGAAACTCATCGGTCCCGCCCGGGAACAGCGTGGCTGCCGGGCGCGCAACCCTTTTGTCGCGCCGAGGGAAAACGCGATTATTATTCAGCGCAAAACGTCCGGACGGCATCAAATGCGTATTAAGACCTGAGCTCCGCTCCGCCGCTATTGAATTGTCGTACGCATTGTTGCACGAAACGGTAATATCATATTTTACCATGGCCAAACATAATAATAATGTCGCGGTGTCTAACGATGTTATAACGACGCGATTGGAAAAACAAAAATCGAAAACCATGCAGTCACGGCACATGTATTTGTGCGGATTTTGCATACGGCGCTCGCTGCTGGCGAAACAATAACATCGTTCCATTGAAATGCCGCGGCACACACTGCACGCGGAGGGAAAGGGCACCCGGTTTTTCACTCCGGATAATATAATATTATGCGCACGGTCATGATGTCTGAACAGTTCTTATTCCGTTACGATTAATTATTATTATTATTTTTTAAATATATCGTGTTTTAATGATTTTTTTGAATTTTAACGGTCATCGAACGACGTCTGTGCGTTACGCAAGGGCCGTAACGTGGCTTTATGGGTTACCAATTTTTTTTTTTTTTTCGCTTACCTCACAATGTTCGCCTTCTACCCTTTTACCCTGGGTGTTGGCTATACGCGTACCGAATCTCGTCGATCGTTCGCGATCAACCACTCCGTTTATACGTTTATCAGCTAACCGTGGTGTACGAGACCGTTCGGCTGGACCGACGATGGTTTCGTCGACCGCACCGATTGTACCGCGAGGTAACAACGCGTCGCGAGATGCACACAAACGTTTTCGTACGCGATGTACATGCGTAGACATTTGATAGAACGGGTTGTGGATTGCATCGTACAAAAAGGATAAACGACCCCTGCTAAATGATCTCTGATTCGCAACGGTACGATGCGTAACACGAACTTTAAGGTTCTCGTTCGAGGTGTGTCGTGTCGCAGGAACACCGACGAGACCGTACCGTTTCCAGGACACGACCGACGGACGAGTTCGGCCATCGTAATAACACAAAAACGTACACACGCATAATAGTGACAACAGTATTTATTCAAACGCATTGTACAATGTAAAACAAGAAGGTGTTTTGAAAGAAAGCACCCGTGTAACGGTAACAAAATAGCAGACACGTCGGCGCGGTCAGGGCGACGGTTGGTTGACGGCGGCGGTGATGCGTACGTTGGTCTCGTTCGGCTGGTGGACGGTGGCCGTCCGCTTATCGGCGTAGTAGAACACCTGTTGCCACAGGGTCACGGGCAACGTCTCCAGGCCCAGTCGCTGGAAGTACGTGGTCACGTGGGTCACGTGCGCGCTCCCCATCTCCCTGAGGGCGGCCACGCTCACGTCCGCGATCAGCACCTTGTCGAACACCTTGTCGTCCGTCACCGGTATGTGGCACGCGTCGAAGAACCGCCTGTCCCACGAGAACGGCTCGCAGTTCTCCTCCAGGAAGCTGTGGAGCACGTCGAACACCCTCCACACGCGGTCCTCGACGCCGCGCGGGTACCGGCTTTCGCGCACGTGCCGCGGCGCGTTCGACTGGATCACCCGCACCGCCTCCCAGTACGTGTTGAACACCTCGGGAATGTCGGCCGAGTACACGGCCAGCTTGTCCAGCATCATGGTGACCGTCTCACGCAGCCGACCGGCCTCCTGCGCCACGAGACCGGCACCCGCGTTCTTGATCATCAGCAGTGCCACGTAGTACGTCTGGAACGCTAGGTGCCGCGCCGAGTGGCACATGAGCGCCGTGTGCAGCACGCTGGCCGCGTAATCGACGAACGACCGGATCCCCGTGAACTCCTCCAGCACCCGCATCACCACGGACCGCACGTCGTACCCCATGTCCTCCACAAGGTACTCCTCCGATATCAGCTGGTTCCGGAACCGCGCGTTCTGGTACGGCGGCTGGTCCAGATTCTTCACCCGTTCCGCCAGCACCGGCGTCCAGTACCGTTCGTTCATCAGCACCAGCTGTATGAACTCCAGCTCGCTGAGGTTGCTGCGGTACACCAACGGTTTCGCGGCCACCATGGCCGCAGTGGCCGCGGCCAACACCAGTAGCACGTTCCCGGCGTTCGACATCGGTTCTCTCTCTCACTTTGTGTAACGGTGGCGGTGGTTTTCGACTGCTCTCGACGCCTGTCGTCAACGCACTTTGCGGTCGTCCGGCACCGGTTCGGCTGTTTCGCACTACTCTCCGCCCACCCGCGAACGGCAAACACAGACGCGCTTATGTTGTTGTTTGCACTTTTCGTGCACGGCAACTGCGCCGCGACGGTGGCGAAACACCCTTTGCCGTGTGGACTGCGAAGAACAACTGCTCTTTACTACCGTTATATGGTTATGCTTTTCTATCTAATATAAATTAAGGCCAAAATTAAAACCTGAAAAAACTAATTACATTTATTACTTCTTCGCGAAGTGCTCGAGAGCTGAAACCATATGTGATATACCCGTGAATTTTCAAAATAATGTTGAAAGTATACGGCGTATATGTAGTCTCTACCCTAAGGGAACACCACTTATAATAGGATAATAGGGATAATGATAGTAGTCGTAACCTTGTTAATATATACCGATTCCCCGTTTTGAATCTCATTATTCTGGATCGATACGCGTATATGTTTGTGTTATTTTAAACTCTCCGATAACTTACAATCATTTAATTTCCGAAATACTTTTGTAGTTCAATGAAAAATTGACAGACCCGTTTCTTTCTAAAAATTCTATTAAATTACGTTCCAATGTTAACATTAACATAATTTGTTTGCGTGGAGTTGACATTCAATTTGGCAGTCTATTGAAAATTCGACACAAACTTAGAAATATTTTCTATGTTTCAGAGCATTTTTATATACACGTTATACATATTACATATTTTTTTCTTTCATAATTCATAATTTATTAAAATAATTTTACTTTCACTTCGTTATTTCATACCTTTTATCCCAATTAGGTTTTAATATTAGTCGTATACTATTAGAAATGGTTTTTAAAACTACCAACGTTATACACTACAAATACTTCGCGACCAATTGAAATTTGTTTGAATCCTGTAATTAGAATTCACAAAACATTACACCTCGAATATTAATAAATTATAATTCACGTTTGTGGGAAAAATTGCAGTCGAAACTGCAGGTATATTCAAATCAATATCCATTCGTAAATTTATCAAACAACTTTATTCATTAGGTAGGTATACGGTGTACATTATGGTAAGTGCGAGATGATTGCGGAAATAGTAAACAATCGTAATTGAAACGTTAACAAAATCACGTCGTCGCGATTGCTGATAATAATTTATTAGCATAATTAAAACACGATTATGGTTTTTATTTTTGCGTCGCGACAACGTTTGCACGGAATGAACGATCGAGACGTTCTTAAGAACTATAATATTTTTTTTTATAATACAACATGGTATAAATATTAAAGATCGTCGAATAACTGCGTTCAAGTCCGTTCACAGATTCTAATTGATCCGTTCGACCTTGACGATGCCGCCCTGCGAATCGTCGCTCTTCACGTTGGCCGCGTGGCCGGTCGACATCAAATCGGACGCCTTGACGAAGATGTTGCTGCGGAAGATCTCTGTCCACACGGTCTGCGACATGCCCGTGGCGCGCAGCCCGTCGAACACCCGGCGCATCAGCAACCGCAGCCGGTCGGCCCGTTCCAGCAATGAACCGGCGCCCTGCGGCTGGTGGTCGCCATCGGACGGTCCCGATTCCGAGTCGTCCAGCGTCAGTTTCACCGTCTTGTCGGTGTCCGCGTCGTACCAACGGTCTTCGGTCACCGCGCAGTACGTGTCGCGGTACGATTTCAGCTCCTCCCGCAGCTGCCCGGACACGTTCTTCATATCGGCCTTGACGTCACGCGCCATCTTCGGTCTCATGCTCGGCAACCGGGTCGTCAGCTTGTCCACGTCGTCGAAGAACGTGGCTGCCAGCAGCAGATGGTGCAGCGGCGTGCCCACCGCGGCCAGCCTGGCGGCCACGGCGCGGTAGTCGTCGACCAGCCGCCGCAGGAAGCCGTTGAGCTCCGTGTTGCCCGCGTCGGACCGCAGCGTCTCGTCGACGGCCGCGATGTGTAGCAGCGCGTGCCGGCTGAACAGGCAGTTGACCGCGTGGCCGAGCACGCGCACGCCGTACCTGACGAACGTGCCCGAGTACCAGCACGTGTCCACGACCGCGACGACCACCTCGAACGGGTTGTACGTGTCCGTGGGCTCCGGTTCGTTGGCCACCTCGTCTTCCGGCTTGTCGTCCGGCACCAGCTGCGCGCACAGCCTGGCGTCCGGCGGTTTCGCGACCGCTTCCCTCTTCAGCGTCTCGCTCCATACCGCGGACCAGCCGTTGTTCAGGGCCAGCGCCAACTTCAGCGTATTCAGCCTTTCCACGTACTCGCGCGGCAGTTCGTTGACCAGCTGCCCCGGATAGCACAGCGCCGCGCACGCGCACAGCGACAGCCCGATCGCGGCCAGCCGGTGCCAGTTCATCGTCGTCGTCGTCAAGTCTCCGGTCGGTTAGTTGCCGAATCCGAGCGAAATATTCGCTCGCGCGTGCATGTACGTCGCAGTAACGTTTCGTGCGCTCTGCCGGCTGTCGTTTCCTCCGTCCGGCGCACCCGCGCAACGCCACCGCCTCGTTGTTTGCACAGCTTTCGAGGTTTTCATTTTTTGTTACTTTTTTTTTTTTCTTCTTCTTCTGTTTGCTTCCCGTACGGCACCGGCCGACCGCCGTCGGAAAATAAGACAACTCTTTCGCTGTCGAGCACCGATTTGACGTGCGGTCGAGGTGTAGGATTTTCTACGCGTTTAGACGGCTTAGACGATAACAATATTATATAACATGGTACACGGAAAAAATAAGTGGAGTTAAACACGTCGACGAAAACAACAGTTGTACGAGGTTTTCAAGTCGAGGAAAATATCTTTGATCCGTTTGATCTCCGGTAGTAACTTGTACTAAGTTTTTTAATTTTCTCAAAAAACGTTTCGTCTCTACTCGTTTAGCCGTACAGGCTCTGAATCTAGTGTTCTACGATTATGGCTTCCTCAAAGTGTCTGTTTTAAGGAGACAAGACTATAACCATGACGATGAACCACGTCATATTGTTTAAATTACCCTAATCATTTATGAACTCATTGCTATACGTTAGTATGTAAATGGTTAGAAAAAACAGGGCAGCCGATATAGTACTTTCTTCCACGGTGCAGGTCACCTGTGCGTGTTCAATCGACACGTTTATAATATTTGATAACATTTTACGAGGTAAACGTATCACATTGCTTCTGAACGGTTGATATGATCTGTCCGCAGAATTATTATTAATATAATTCCGGGAAATAAAACGTAAAGTATAATCGATTAATAAATTTAAAAAAAAAAAAAAAGTTGACACGAAGCACCGGTATTTTGATAATTCGATTTGTCTAAACATCGATATTCTTTTAATAATCCGTTCTTTGTTTGATATATCTTTAAGACACGTAATTTTTGGCGCTTCCAATAGGTATAATGCTAATTTATCGAAAAGTCAACATTACCAGTAAATACGTTGGTCTCGAATCTATTTAAGACACAAATAATATAGAATGATCTGTATAGTATTCGACATATTATTATGTATTACATTATCATATAGTTCTGATTAACGTTAGAGAGGCTGGTGTGATCCACATACATTCATTCTGATTTTAGTTTTTAGTCGTATTTGTTTTGCTACCTATAAAATTATCTTCATACTTTATGCGATTCTACCATAATAAGGTTGATACGTAATGGAACGCACTGAATTGATAATTATCAATGTAGACTATTTTGATGTCAGCTATAATTTACCAATACCATTATAACTTGGAACACTGAATACCTGATCTCCGTTCAAAATGAATGTTTGCTACCAGTGCTTTTGCATTCACGTAATGATAATCATTACAGTAATAACGCACCCTTACCTCATGTTGGAATATGCTAAACTATTTTTGGTTAAAGGAAAAACAGATAGACCTCACACAAATATAGTAAAATAATTCGTATTCAATGTACATTCGATAAATGATATGTATTATAAATGATTTTTCAACAACATATTATATACTACTAAAATATTAAAATGACAAATAATAATACAACAATAATATTTTAGCTATAAAACTTTATAAATAAATACCTACTGATTATTATAGTACATTTTTTTTCGATAACATTAAAGTAACACTCTATTAGCTAAAATACTTTAGTCCAAGTAGATTTTCGCTTTATATTGGAACTATTCATTAGTACGCGAATGACTATTTGATTGTTATTGTCATAACAATACGCATTAACGGATGGTCTGCAAAAACTCTTCGTCCTCTTCGCCCGGCAGTAAATGCAAAAACTCATTCCACATATCTATTAACATTCCGTCGGTGTACGGTATATCTCCCACTTGAGATTTGATTTTCTCGGTAGAACTGGTAAACATTTTCTTGAACGTTTTGTCTTTCAGGTCCCTGGCCTGACCCGTGTTGTACAAGCTCGAAGTGTGGAAGACATTCAACTCCTCTGCGATCTCCTTTTCCGTTTTCGGCGCTTTCACGCAATTGTTACGTATGTATTCTAGCATCTCTGAGGATATCCGATTCAACGTAGGAGTGTAAGAGAATTTGCTCGTTTGTCCATTAATCTTCTTGGGCTTCTTTTGGAACAGGTAGAAGAACTTTGCCACTTTGAGCAGGTTGCTGTCAATATATTCCAACTCGGCCATTTTCATGATGATCCCAGCGAGTGACGGTATCGCTTTCCCCGACCAGCTCGACCCTTTGCTCTTAATCACGGTACGGCTTATTTCCACGCGTATCACTTTGAGCAGGTGCACGGTATGCTTGTATGCCAGACAATTGAACGCGTTCTGCATTATTTCGCCGGCCAGTTTCAGAATTGTACCCACTCGATATCGTTCGCCATGCAAAAATAAGTTTCTGAAAAAAACCAGTGGCTTAATAGCTATCCTGGTTGACGGGGTCGCCGCTGGTTCGGATTTAGACGTTTCCGCGGGAGGCGTCGACCCTTCGGACACCGTTTTATCGTGGTTCACGTCGATTTTCGCGTCCAACATGAGTTCTTCGATAATATCCCGATGGTAATGATCATGGTAATCGACGTAAACGTTTTGCCGGAACACGAATTTCCAAATTTCGTCCTGCGCCAGTATTGATGTGAGCATGTTCAACCGCTTGTCGTATTCCGACGTAGCGCCGAGTAATGTGAAACCGTGGACGGGCATCAAACACGCCAGTAAACAGATGACTGGTGTCAACGGCGACATGACGGACCTTTTCTTATTGCCCATGCGGTAATACTGCGATATCCGGGAACAACCAGTCTTCGGTTGTCCTACGATTTCACTAAAAAGCTGCGAAAAACCCTTTGGTCTCCTCGAGAGTATTGCGACGCGCGCGCGTTGTTATTGCGATTCGCGACGATGTTGTTCAAACACAGTCTTGGTAAACACCAGATGCCGACGTTCGTACGGAAACGCGTGCAGGTGTTGAGTAAACAACACACGGCGAAAAAAACGAATTACGCGTTTAGACCACATTGTTACTACGAAAAACGGTATTCTTATTACGCCTTTTGGTTCGATGTCCACGCGATAACATTGTTTTCACCCCGTACGGCCAACGCCTGTGCGTCGAACGTGGAAACGACGTTTAAGTCACCGTATCGATCATAATTATCATTTATGCAGCCCTTCACTGCGCCCCATCATCGGTGATCGAGAACGATTATTATGATGTTTCTAAGTTATCGAATTGCTGTCTCAACAGCTTTATCGCTCACTATAGCTTTTGTTCACTGCGCCACTCGAATGTCTGACGACATATATCCTCAAAGACATATCTAACTCCTAGCGACGTATTGCAACTCGAATTCACCATAATCACACGTGATTGTTGTATAACACGACTGACGCAACGGTATAATGCTAAGCAAACCAAACCCCCAACGTTATCGTTATCGTTTTTGTACTATTTAATATTATTCATTTTTTGGTGTTTGCAGATCATCTTTACTAAACCGAATATTAAAATGCATGTGTCGTACAAAATTGTTTTATACGCATATTTGATATTACAATTTCTTATACGACAGATTCATTGACATCACACACACACACACGCATCCGCTAATATGTTACAAAATACATTGACCGAATTGAAAACTAATGGAACACAGAGTATTTTATCCCTATCATATGTGCAAACCATGAATATATATTTGTTAATTATTTTAATCAATATTGAATTATCAAATTACTGATGAAAACAGTCGGAACCATTCCGATAAAATGTATATTTAAATTTTTCGATTTATGATAATAGATTAACTGTTTATTGGATAAACGAGAATCCAGTTGAAAAATAAAAATGAAAAATGTGCAGAAAATAAAGAAATATATACGACAACTTCTGTAAGACTCATTTTAATTAGATATACCATATTTATTACCAACTGTGTTTAAGATACTAACATTATCTTGTCATTGAAATGTAATGGTATTCATCGTGTTGGTCTTCTAATATCATATTAATAATTATAAAAGTAAAATGGTTGTCAATTAAACTTGGATTATAATTTTTAAAATTTATGTTTCAATTATTATAAAAACTTATTGCGATTGTAATTTAAAAATCTACTGGAACTACATTTAAATATTTTAATTATGTAATATTCGTGTTTACTATGATAAATACATATAAAAAATATTCTTCTCTTAGTGCAATGCTTTTATACTTAAACTATTATTGTTATATATTTCCATCGAAGTTAGTTTAAAATCCATAAAATATATTTCCTTATATATTATGCTTAGGTTGTTACACCTCAAATTTATAACATTATAAATCAAATAGTTGTGCCTTAGTAATCTGAGTATCTGTGACTAACATTTTTACCAATACAAGCAACTTGTTTTTGAAATGCTTACTCTAAAAATAGTTAACAATAAAATGAGCAGTAAATATTTATATAATTTATATTATTACATAAAACTTACGACTACTGATGTACAGTCATATATTTCGATAGACGTTCTTACGAAAGAGTATTTTATTGTATTTTACTAAAAACATAGTTCAATTTAAATTTTTGTATTTTAAAAATAGATTTATACCACATTTATATAATTATATAATTTTAAATATTATTTTATGTATTAATTAAACATTTAAAGCGCAAAGGATAATATTAAAATAATGTTTGACTGACATAATTTAACAATAATTTTACGTACTCATTATTCATTACAATGATTAGTGTATACAATATCTGACTTATAGTAGAACGGTGGATTAATTTTGACAACTGCAGGGGTTTCCGATAGTAATTGTAACATACTTAATGTTCGAATTGGTTAGAAATATTGAAATAATTTATTACTTAGCGCTGACTAAAATTTTAACATTTAAAATAAAAATACACAGTGAAGAAACAGCATCTGTACAATATGATAACTTATAATTAAAAAATAAATATTAAAAATTAAAGGTTAAAAGAAACCGTCTGCTCATTCTACTACTGTACCTGATTTTGGGGAATTTTGTTCTTCACTTGGGTGAGTATTTGCATCGGTAGTCGCTTTATCTTTTTCTGTAACTCTATCGTCTGTTTTTTCCGTAACCTGGTCAGGTAATATTCCGATTTCAAATGGTTCCGTGTCTTCACTATCTGTTGTTGTAATTTCGTATAGTGTTTCGGTATCGATTGACGCCTCGTTTGGATTGATCACATACGGATTTATTATCAAAACGACCGCGCTTTGGTAATTCAGAATTTGGTTCCAAGTCTCTAAATTTAACGATTCGATTCTAAAACTATTGTAAGTAATTATCATACGATCGGTGATTTGATAAATAATCGATTTCAAAGCCTGCAATGTTGTTTGACGGCTTCTCGGTGATCCTCGGACGAACGTAAAGCCCAACTTCTTCAACACGGTTTCCCGCGACTGCACTTCGCACTGTGTTTCGATCAAATTGTCCATTTTCTTTTTCAGCACTCCGACCCCGTTCATCAGGACGAGTTTCTCCGAGTACAAGCTCTCGTTGTACTGGTAGAGCTCCGTAGCTAACCGGTCTACGTTGCCATTCACGGCGGCCACCTTGTCGACCATCACGATGAGCGTGTACAGCACGTCTGTCACCACGTCCTTGCGGTGCTTGTGGATACCCAACTGCTCCGTGGTGATCTCGCTCTCATACTTGTACTCCATTAACAATATGAGTTCGACGATCAGCGATACGTTCTGGTACGTGAAGCACTCAAAAGCGGAGGTCAGCAGCCACGCGGCAAAGTCCACGTGCGAGCCCAGCCACGAGTACTGGCCGACCACCTTCTGCAGCACCGGCAACGGCGACATCAGCTCCGGCTGGCCGTCCACCAGCAGCAGCTCGTCCCGGACCGTGGCCTCGGTGCGCTGGTCGTGGTACGGCGGGCCCGGCAACACGTTCATCCGCACGTTCTGTTGAAGCACCGGTCCCCAGATCACGTCCAGGCTCAGGACGTGCTCAAACAGCTCCAGGACGTCGGGATGGTCCGGACCCGAGAAGCGGAGGACGAAGGCGACGACGTTCGGACGCGGCAACGTGGTGACGAGCCATAGCAGACCGAAGAACGCGGCGGATGCGCCGCCGATGGGATGCATGTGTAAGGATCAAGCAGTCGGCTGGGTTCGTGGGTCGGGTGACGATGGTGCGAGAGTGTCTTGGCGGAAGGTACGCGCGCGACGATTATCGAACCGGATGCCGCAAACGTGATTTACGCATAGCCCGGGCGGAGTTTTCCTTGTTCAAACACAGAGTTCGTCCACCGCAAGTGTTGTTGCGCGACAAATGTGTGCGCTCTGTTTGCGCACGACCACCCCTCCTTCACACCCTCGTGCGGTAACGTGACGCAACAGCAATTCGCACCGAGTTCGCAATAGTGTCGATCGATGAAACGTGTACCGTTCGTTTCTGATAACACGACGGCTAGCCAACCAACACGGAACACGGTGATGCTTAGGATTATCGATCAACAACTCTCTGACGAATAATCGTAAAAAATGCGTAACATGTAAAATTATAATACCCCCCCCCTCCCCGTTGATAATTAGCTGGAATATTTTTTGACCAGTGTTGGGTACGTTTCACAAACCGTTGGTATGATTTTTATGGTTACTCAATTTCTGATTTGAATTCTACATGTTTTTCCGTCCGAATATAAAAATCGACGTGCGGTCGAACACAACATAGTTGAATCGCTACAATGTATAAATGTAATACTGAACAAAGTATGAACAACACATGTTATAACATTTTCTTTGAATTTTCCGTTGAATTATTTTCGAACAAACACACAGGACTGTTCAATATTTAGTACAAATGTATTAACTTATAATGCATTATTTATTTAAAAAAATATGTTATAGACAAAATTAAATTATATTCAATTGGTATAGCGAATAACTAACAATCAGGTCTGCTGATAATTTGGATTATATATGGATTAAAAAACATTTATTTCAACAATATAATTTTAATTTAAAATAACAACCGAAAAGAAGAAATAAAGTCAACGTATAGTATAATAATTATTATCACTGTATTTTTTTTTCAAAACTGGGTCTATCATTTCATTTGGTACTTTTTGTCTTTTTTCTATTTTTCCTTTTATTTGTCTTTATTATTTATATTTTCCTTTCTTCTCTCTTCTTTCTTTTTTCTCCTTTCTCTTTTGATTTCTTCTGCAACCATTTCAAATGGTGCGTTTTTCGAATTTGAGTCCTGAGTAGTTTTACCTTTTCTTAAAATGTGTATTAAAGTTCCATCATATGGTAAGTTTTCTTTAATTATAAATGGATCTATATCTTGGTTGACAGGATGTTGATAATTTAGAATTTGTTTCCATGTATTCAATTGCATTGATTGAATTTTGAAATTTCCATATATATATATAATACGGTGGATGACTTGTTTGATAGCTGATGCAACGTGAATTATTTTGGTAGAACTGCTATTCAATTCACCCTTGACGCGAGTAAATCCCAAGTTAAAAAATACTTGTTCTCGTTTGGGTTGTTTGCACATACGAGAGATCTGTTCACTAATTGATACTGACATACTATGCATCACCAACATGTGAGCGTTTCTGTTTGAGTATATGCTCTCATCGTACAGATACAAAACTTCACCCATCAAGTCCAGACGACCATGCACAGCGGCCAACTTATCCACAAGCATGACGTATGCGGACAACGTGTCCATCAGAATCTCCTTTCGTGTTTCTTGTATCCCTTTCGGATATTTCTCCTTTTCGTCCTGGTACTTAAACTCCATGATCAACATCATCTCCACGACTAGCAAGATGTTGGTGTACGTATAGCACATGAACGCAATGCTCAACGTGCGTGACGCGAATTCCACGTACGTGCCGAGCCACGAGTACTCGTCAAGAACCTTTTTCAATATCGGTCCTGCCTCGATAAGCTCCTCGTTCTCGTCGACGAGGTGTAATTCGGCTTTGATCACATCGGTGTCGTGGTATGCAGAAATTTGGATCATATCTTTTTTGACATGCTGCTGGAGAACTTTTTTCCATTCGTTGTCATTCAAAAGGACGAATCTTAACAGGTCCAGCATGTCCGTTTGATCGGTGGTGTGTGGTTTCCAAATGACCGACGCCGTGACCGGAGGATGCCACGAGACGATGAACAGCAAGCCCAATGCAACCCAAAACCATTCACTTCGTCGGTACATGGCGATTATTGATAATTGACTTCGTATTATATTACGCATATATTATACCGTATAGTTCAACAGAAAATTAGACCTATAGTATGTTTAACAAAATTCGTGTGCGATTCGTCGAACTCGTTCGCTCAGCCACCGGGCAGAGATATGCGCTTTTTTTGCCGTTTTGTTTTGTATGTCTATTGTTCAAACACAGATGTACATTATTCATACACCATGCAAGTGTTTCGCATACGGTACGCCTACCAATACGTCCAAAATATCAAAGCCATACCGAGCCATTTTTTATCCTGAGACAGAACTGAAGCAATGCACCCCCTGGGTTGTAGGGTTGTCACGCTCACAGCTTTTAATATGTATAATACGATTCGGAAAAATCTGAAAAATTAGGTTTCCAGCAAAACAAGAAATAACATTCTTAGCCAAAAGTATAAAACTATCAAATATCATTTTCTTATATAATGGTAAATAAATAAATTTGATACTTGCAAATTATTAGATGTTTCAAAAAAATAATTAATAATAATAACAATAATGTATCAAATTAAATTAAAACAATTATTATTTATAATTTAATTTTCCTTGCTTTTGTGTCAGAAAATATAATATAGATATTAAGCAGATGCCGACTGATCATCGATTAAACGGAAAATAATATTAAGATAACGTAATATAATATACACTATTAATAAAAAATATAAAACTATAATAATAATATTAAATACTAAAAATAATTCAATAATTGTAAAGTAACAAACGAGTAATCAATAAAGAAATACATTTTATATTGAAAATATAATATTATGTTTACGGATCGGTGCGTAGTTTAAATATTTAAATATTATATTGTCAATCATACCGTACTATACAATAATTAATACTTTTTCTTAAGTTAATCATTTAATATTTTTGCACCGTCTCCTTCCAGCTTTAGGCGCCCAAGGCAAATGCCTCGCTCGCCCTAGTTACAGCTCTCCAAAATATGCGTGCAAAATATATTATTTTTATCGGTAACTCCGATAGCGGTGTTCATAAGTAATAACATGTGCACATCTATTTGTCCGTTTGAAAGAATAAATAAGACTGGCTAGCCAAATATACATTATAGGAAGAAAAATCATTTATATTAAACACACTTAGTGATGGTGATCATCTTCATCTGTATATATAAAACAATAAGCTAATTGACTGCTATCAACGCACAGCTCAAACCATTGGACGGATCTGGCTGAAATTTGGCATACAGATAGCTATTATAATGTAGACGTGCGCTAAGAAAGGATTTTTCGAAATTTTGAATTTAAAGGGTTGAAATCGGTTTAATATTTTTTTGACCAGGTCGATAACTGCGCTATTGAAAATGAATTATATTAAATAAAACTATTAAAAAATTATTAAAAAACTATTAAAAACCATTTAAAAACTATTAATTTTATTTTTGGTAGTAAATGAGACGGGTATTGCATAAATATTAAACAAAAAGATCCCGCAACAGGTGCCAAAACAAATAAGAATGTTAATTCAAAAAATTATTATGCATATCGGTTGATGATTAGACGCGATCAGAACTAAGTTATTTTACGATGCATAAGCTTTGTCAACAATTCATAGTCGAAATATATATAAAGATAGATAGCGAACGATTTCGATTCAATCAAAAAAAGCTGCGTACAAAAGATTCTCAAAACAATTGTTAGATATTGGAGATGGGAAAGTTACTACAGATGAAACGGGATGTATAAAATTACCGAACGATTTCTGCACAATCATTTATTCGCAAGATGCTCTCATTGACCAGATATGTCCCAGTGTACACAAACAATATACAAATCATGAGTGGCTGGCAGAAAGAGCAATTTTAGTAGCAAGATACAAAATTTGTTACCAGAAAACTTGGTGTCATACAAATCTAGATATAGTCTGCGATGCTACTGAAGTTGTAAATTATCCAACAGAGTTTTTAAACTCATTGGATTTACTAGGCATGCCACCGCATAATTTACAATTGATCATTACAATTTACCATCGATAAAATACCTCCTTCAGAGTCATTTAAAGTTGTAATACATGCAGATAAAAAACCACCAGAAGAACATAGAGGCAGGTATAATGCACCAACGGCAAATGAAGTTACTTTAGTGTTAGTAGATCAGCAGTTTGATCGAAGAGACATCATCCTCGAAAACCGAAGTAACTCACTTCACCGTATCAGTGAGATACATCGAGCATACGACGCACTGCAGTATCCTTTAATGTTTTGTTGGGGGGATGATGGGTATGCAATCAATATACCACAACGCGATCCAAAAACCAAGTTACCGCTTAAAAAAACTGTCTCTGCATCAAGTTTTTACTCATATAGAATAATGGTCAGAGATGGGGAAGACAACTATTTAGTTAATTATCGTTCTCTTTTCAGTCAATATTTGGTAAATGAATACGCCAAAATTGAAACTGAAAGACTAAATTACATCAAAAACAACCAAGCCAAATTGCGTGCAGATAGTTATATTCATTTAAAAGATGCGATTGGACGACGAGACATAGAAGCTAATCAGTTAGGCCAAATGGTTATACTCCCGTCAACTTTTACTGGTGGGCCAAGGTACATGCACGAAAGAACACAAGATGCTATGACCTACGTTAGACATTACGGTCGTCCTGACCTTTTCATTACTTTTACATGTAATCCTCGCTGGGACGAGATAAAAGAGCTCTTACTTCCCGGTCAAAGATCATATGATCGACATGATATAATTTCAAGAGTGTTTCGGTTAAAAGTCAAAAAGACCATGAACTTATTGACAAAAGGTAAAATATTCGGAGAAGTGAGATGCTATATGTATTCAACAGAATACCAAACTGTAGAGAGGTTCAGGTAGTTGTAAGCTATAACTTATCGAATAGGTTATGATAATCATTATCTTAAAAACTAAATTAATATGTATAAAATATTATTTCAAAAATCTTAATTAATTTAAATTTCAATAGATTTAACAAAATTTAATCTTGGCAGGTTACATACATTTATATACTTAAACCCAGCAACGACGGGTAATTCAGCTAGTTTTCAATAAATGGTAAAAACAAACTTAATAACATTCGATAGTTAGACACTCGTTTGTCAAGTTCCACAATAGTCGGATAAACGTAAATATTTTTGGGGCTGAAAGTAAACGGATAAACGTAATAGAAATTATTTCAAGACAGCATTTTAATATATGGCCCGTATAAAAAATCCGGTTACTGCAAGTGAAAATTATTATGACATGACAAAATTAAAACGTCGTGAGCTTGAATTTTTGGAATTTGGAAGCACGCTGAAATCAAATATAAATTAATAACACGTAGAAAAATATGATTTACTTTATTATATTAACGTAAATGTAATGTGAAGGCAAACATAATAAAATATTTTTATGAACATATTGTACAACTATTCAAATTCCATAAAATATGACTCTATGTAATCTAATTCTAAGATTTCAAAATTATTTGTTTAATCTAAATGCCCTCCAAATATACGTATATTAAAACCATCTATAACACGTATACGAAAATTCATTATCAATTTAAAATTGTTTTTTCTTATTATTATTACTATCACAGTGTTTTTATTCCAATACCAATATCTTTACTTTAAAATTTGTTCTATAAAAAACTATGATGTTAATTTAAGTCTAACAACAATTGTACAACATTAAATTTACAAAAATAACATTGAAATAAGAAATAGTTGGTTTATATTAATAACAGTAGCAGTACAAATACTTAGTATTTTCATCATTTCTCCAGTGGCGTATACATACATTTTGTATGGGGGGGGGAGGGATCATTTGCAAACAAATCATTATTATTACACACTATGAATATTATTTTATAACATTTAAAAAAAAGCCCTAGAGGGATCTGACCTCCACACCTCCCTCTTGTATACGCCACTGAGTATCTCGTACAAGTTTCGACGAATGAAAAGGGAATAATGTAAACAAAAACATCAAAAGTTACATTTGAATAATAGGTTCTATATATTTTTTTATTCGAATACTTTAATACTTATTGTCGTTGGCACCATATCAAGACAATTAAAACTTTTACTGTGTTGAAAACATTTAAAATACTAACCATATCTAAGTCGTTATTACGATGGATATTTTAAATAATTAAAAATTAAGAAAATAAATAATTGAAAATCGTCACTGTCCACTGAAGAACTTATTGAAATTATATTTTTAGAACAAATTTAATATTCTGGAAGTTTTCAAACATTCGAATTGAAAATATGCGTCAATATCAAAATCATAAAATATTCTATCCGTTTTTAGGTAGACTTATTTCAAAATCGAATGTGTTTTCAGAATAATACAACCCCTTCGTAAAGATCAATAGACCCTATCGGTATTGAGTGGGAAACTAGTAACTCCAATCTGTAAGGTGAAGTCGAATTTAATGTTCACACGTATCCGTATACGCACTATATTAGATGGTTCGTAATATTTCATTGTTTAAGACGTGAGTCACAATTTTTAGGACTGACAACCTCAGGGAACAGAGGGGAACTGACGGCGACGAACGCGCATTTAAATTTCACAGTATTTCATAAAATATTTTACACGATGACTTAACATAACTGAGTAGGTGTATAAATTGACCTTTTACAATCAGGATCGAAGCTATTAGTTTACTCAAACAGTCGTTCAAGTGTTACAAAGTTAACAATATGTTCAAATACAGTACAACACATTTATGCAATGTAAACGTATACAAGAGCATTCCGACGTTCGGAGAACACCGTAAAACTTCGTGCACGGTAAAAACCGCGACACGGTCCGCGAACACCAATCGTTCGCGGTAGAACGCGATAAAAAAAAAAAAAAACCTTTGTTTAATGCAACCGGTACACTTATTACGTTGGCGACGACACGTGTACTGACCGCGGTCATACGCATTGATGTCATTCGCACAAAGGTGAATAACCATTTCTGCAAAATATCGACTGCGCGCGAAGTGCACGATAACGCGATGTCGGCCGCGGACCAGCGTTCTTCGTCGAGTCGCTCTTCACGTCGTCCGGACGGCACGTGCAGTCCCCACGGAGACGACCATCGATCTCCCGACGTGTTGAGTCCCG